CTGTTTCTTCCCCTACAACCTTGCCAATTTACTATGCTTTGTATTCTTGATGATAACATTTTTGTCTGGGTAGATCTTGAGTTTTAATGTAGTTTTGGTTTGCATTTCCCTAATGGATACATATTTTGCATATTTTTTCCTGTACTTCTTGACCATTTATTCTTCTTTTGAGAAGTATCTGTTTAATTCATTTGCTCATTTACCGACTAAGCTAACTTTCTGGTATTGAACTCAAGTTTTTCATATAGTCTAGATATTAAGCCACTGTCAGGAAAAGTACCTCACAAAAGTTTTCTCCCATTAGGTGGATGGATCTTCACTCTGTTGGTTAATTCTCCTGTTGCTCAGAAACTTTTATGCTGATGTATTACACAGTGTTGGTTCTTGCTATCATTTCCTCTGATATTAGAGTCCCATTGAGGGAATCTTTGCTTGTACCTGGGGCTTCAAACATTTTCCTATGATTTCTTCAAACAGTTTCAAAGTTTCTAGTCTTATCCCTAGGTTTTTTTTTTTTTAAATCTTTATTTATTTAGTGGGGGGGGCAGCTCAGCCCACCAGGGGGCGGGGCTGGCTGGCATGTGGTGCTGGGGATTGAACCGTGGTTCCTGTGCTTTGCTTAGCCTAGCTTGTTCTAAGTAGGTGCTTTAGACCACTGAGCCATCTCACCCGCCCCTATCCCTAGGTTTCTGATCTGTTTTTACTTCCCTTATATACAGGGTAAGAGAGAGAGAGCTAATTTCAATCCTCTACATATGGGACACCCAGTTTCTCCCACTCCATTTGTTAAACATGTTGTCTTTTGTTGAACATATATCCCTGGGACCTTTCTCAAGCCCTGGATGGCTGTAGTTGTGTGAGTTCATTTCTGGGCCCTCTAATTTGTTCCACAGGTCTCTCTGTGTCCTGCGGCACTGCCATGTAGTTTCTATTACTGTGGGTTTGTAGTATGATTTGAAATCAGGTGTGGCGGTGTCTCTAACCTTGCTCTTCTTGCTTAAGATTTCTTTAGCTGTTCTGAGCCTTTGGTGTTTGTATGTGGCTGGTAGGATTATAATTCTCTAGCTTTGTGAAGCATGTCACTGGTGTTTTGATGGGATGGTAGTGATCAATTACGGCAAATGGCTATTTTATCAATATCATTTCTGCCAATCCATAAGCAGGGAAGCTCTTTCTATCTTGTAGGGTCTTCAGTGCTCTGTAATTTTCATTATAGAAACCTGTCACCTCCTTGCTGAGGTTGGTTCCTAGATACTGTAATTTTTCTTGAAGCTCCGGTGGACTTTCCCGTCTTCTTCTTCCAGGTGGCTCATCGTCGGGTGTCAGCACCTTTCTGACTCTTCGATGCTGATGTTGTGCCCGTGTCTATACTGGTCCAGAATCTGCTCATGGAGATTGACGTGCACTGGAGGGACCTAAGTTCTCTGCTCTATGCGCCCCCCTCTGTGCTGAGCCTTCACTGGCAGAGCTGACGCCTACATTACATAAGCAGCATCTCCAAGGCAAGCCAGTGTTTTAAAAAGTTGGTTTCACAAAACTCGTCCAGCTATCCTATTGCCCAATTTAAAGAGATGTTCGTTATCTTAAGTATTTGTAACTTCAGCCCCCTCCCTAGTGTTCTACTGCTGCCACAATGAACTGCTCCAAACGGGGCCTAAAAATAACAGACTTAGGATGCTACGATTGTGAAATCAGAAATCTGAATTTATCTTATCTTCTTTTGGAAGATTGTTCTGGTTTGGTGAATAATAAAAAAATCAATGATTTGTATTTTTACTAAAAGAGAACAATTCCTTCATAACCTCTTCCCTGCTTTTCTCTCTCTTCTCCTTGTTCTGAGCCTGTTGTAGTCCATGATGTTGTAGAAATGAACTCACAGATCTCGTTACTTTACTGGAACGGATGTGTCAACAATAACCCAGAAAAATGAAATCTTGGGTCTAAGATGTTTAAAATATCTTATTTTGAGTTCTGATATACTTCACCATCTCAGGTTTTAATACGGGCAGGAAGCACCTGGACACTTTGCTGCAGGGTTGTTCTGACTGAGGGTGCGTGAGATAGGGCCTCAGTGGTTCTAGACTCCCAGTGAGAGTTCTGTCCTGTCAGCATTGCTAGCGCCCAAGTGCTCACTCAGCAGCAAGGACGGAGGCTGCGTCTCTGGTTGGCAGTACCGCTTCATCCGCAAAAGTGGAAATGCTGTTCGTCTGAATATCTTTGTACTACTGTCAACAATAGGTATGAGAAAAACAAATTTTCTTGAGAAGAAATGCAAGTATCTTAGGGATTTTTGTGAGGGGTAACAAAGGTACGGGAGTGCTGCTTTATTTTGAGTAATTGCCATTGCTAATATTTGCATTGTCACCATAACTTTTCTGCCCCTAAGTGAAGGCAAGTAGCTTTTGCCTATAGGACAACGGTGAGCCAAGAATGGCCCTGGAAGACGAGAAGATGCTCAGGTATTCACTGGGCTGCTCGACAGGCTTTCGTTGAGCCCCCGTTATGAGCTGTCCTTTAGCTGGGCACTCAGGCAGCCAAGACTCCTTCATGTCGAGGAGCTCACCTCAAGGCCTTACGACTGAAGTGTAACACTCACCCGGGAGTTTGGTGCTGTGTGAAATTCGAGGCAGAAATGAAGAGCTTATGCAAGTCCAGCATGAAAGGAATATGAACCAATGTAATTCTAACACAAGAGAACACCAGAAAGCCCTGTACAAACGCACAGCTCATAGCTCCTCGAGGAGAGGCGCACTGCAGCTCCAGCCCGGCAGACCCCGCCCTGTCTTCCTGTGCTTCACGGGCTTTTCCTGTCTGCCAAATGGCATCACTTATTTCCTGAGTATCATGCCAAGCCTTACCATCTTCTTCCTTCAGTCCTGACGGTCCTTCTACCAGAACACACACACACACACAGAGAGAGAGAGAGAGAGAGAGAGAGAGAGAGAGAGAGAGAGAGAGAGAGAGAGAGAGAAAGCTTTCCTGTTCCACCGCCAGTGTGCAGCAGGCTCTTCTTTGGCTTCCTACGTTGGACTGGGCTGGATTGTGCACACCATCAGAGAGCGCAGGAGGCCCAGATGGGGGAATGTTTGCAGATGTGAGGAGGCTAAAACCAGACCATGGGCGCACCGGGGATGATCAGGGGCTGCTAGGTCTCGGCTGGCAGGGGAGCCTTAAAGATTAGGTTCACCATGCCTGGGCACAGATCAGCATTTTTTAAAGTCAGAAAGCAGGCTCAAGAAAATCATGGTGGGGCTGGCCAAATAGCTCAGTGAATTAAAGCACCTGCAAGCAGGCTCAGGGCCTGAGGTTCGAGGCCTGCCATTCTGGCCCTGCCCCTGGAGAACCCTGAGACCACAACTGAGACTGGGCGTGGTGGCACGCCTATAATCCCAGCATTTGGGAGGCTGTAAACAGGAGAATCACTATGAGTCTGCCCTACACAGTGAGATTTTGAACACCCCGTAGACCCTTCCCTAATACAGAGAAAAAAAGATAAGAAAAATCATGGGACCACCACAGACACACACACAGACACACACAGAGACACAGACACAGACACACAGAGACACACACAAATACAGACACACACAGATGGTACACACAGACACACACTCACCCACACAGATACAGACACACACACACACACACACACACACACACACACACAGAAGCAAGCAAGCACACTGAACCAAGCAAGAAGCAGGACCTTACTCAAAAGATAAAATAACATTTCTGCTACCACAAAACTGTCCTCTCAAAGCAGTAAACTGGCTTCCTGCCTAAAGACAAAGCGACCTCAGCAGGAGATACCAATTGGTGTTTTCAATGACAGCAAGCCACAGTTGTCTTGGACCTGTGTAGAGCCGACAGCCTGTTTTGGCTCTGAGCCTGCCACAGACTCCCTTCCCCTGTCGGTCTCCCTCTGCCCCGTCCACTCCCTCTTGTCTCCTAGTGCTGGCTGTGCCTGGCAGCCTCAGGGACTAGGACTTGTCCCCGGCCCTGGGTGTAGGGCGTGGGCCAGGGCAGAGCGGTCCGCAGGCCGGCTTAGGGGGCCTCAGTCACTTTCCCGCTACCCAGGACACAGAGCAGGGCGGCCAGGTGCGGCTAGCCGGCGTAGGAGGGACCTGGCCCGCTGGACGCTGGAGCTTCCCGGGGCCCAGTTGGTGGGTCTGGATTCTTGCTTTGTTCGGAGGAGGAGGGATGAGGTCTGAAAACTGGGATCAGGACAGGGGTCCTCTGGGCCATCGTAGGGTGATCCCCGAGGTCGGACACGTAGGCCGCCAACCCGCAAGTCTGGAGCAGCGTGGGCAGCAGAGTCTGCGAGGCTGTAGTGTCTCGCCCAGCGGTGGAACGAGGCGGGCAGCCGAGCAGGGTGAGCTGGGGGGCGTGGAGGGAGCATACACGGGGACGAGCAGAGCGCGCACGCAGATGACAGGTGCTGCAGCGGTCACCAGCCGGCGGCGTCTCAGCCGCTGACGCCCTCCCCTCCCTTGTCCTACCCTGCCCTCCCCTCCCCCTCCGCTCTCCTCCTCTGTCCCCCTCCTTTTTCCCCTTCCCTTCCCTCCCTTTCACCTCTTCTGTCCCCTTCCCCCTCCCCTGCCCTGCAGTGCGATCTCCAGGCGGCCCAAGGTGCCGGGATCTAGTCACAGTCCCGAGCCTGCAAGGCCCGGTAAGTGTCGCCAGTGCGCGGGGCTTGCGGAGGGCGCCCTCCTCTCCCTAGGCGAGAGCAACGGGTATTGGGGGTGACGTCCGGGGCCGAAGACTTGAGGATCCCAGGGAGGAGTCGGGCTCCGGGGGCGCGCGCGGAGGGCGTGTGTGAGTGTGTTGGGGGTGGGGTGCGAGCCAGCTACGCGGGTGCACGCAAAGCCCGGCCAGGCCTGGCTGGGGAGCCGAGCACAGCGCGGCGTCCGGGACAGCAGCACAAACTTGCTGCGCGGTGTCTAGGGCGTGTGCACGCGTGTGCGCGCGTGCGCCTGAGTGAGTGGGTGCCTGTGAGTGCGTGTGCACCTGTGAGTGTGTCTGTGAGTGCGTGTGCCCGTGCGTGTGAGCCTGTGAGTGTCCGTGGGCGCGCGGGGCCGCTGGGCGGGCGCCTTCCCACCTCCCCTGGCCGGGGCTCCGGGCGCCCACAGGGCTCACCCCGCCCGCAGGCTGCAGGCGCGCAGCGCTGTGCACTCGCCGGAGTCGCCGCGGCTGTGAAGCAAGCGGCGGGGCTCACAGCTCGCTTGAGATCGGCTTCGTTTCAGTAGTGGACTCCCCTGGTTTTTTGGAGGGTGAGTTTTAGCTGTTGATGCTTAAACTTCAGGGGTGGCACAGCGGGAGTGACTTGGGCTCTTCCGACCCGGTTCTCCTCTCGGTCTGGGCGCCCACAAGCGTGTCTCCCCAGGGCCCACCGCCGCTTTCCTGTCGCGGATCAGAGTGGAAGCGCTTCGTGGTAAATACAGAGTTCTCTGCCTGCGTTCGTAAAGTAGGAATAGTATGTTGCTCTTCCTGAAATGATTGTACTTTTCTCTTTAACAGTGACCCTTTCACTTGCGCCTTTATGAAGGGGGTGGAGTCCCTGGTAGCAACAGTGTAGCAACTGGATTGTCTTGCATTCTGAAGCAAAGCCGTGGGCTCAAGTCAGGTGGCTGCGCTGTTTCTTTGTGGGGTGGTCTGTGCAGTCTATGGTCTGTTCAGCTCACGGGCGGTTGGGGTTTGTGGGTGTATTTCCGAGGTCAGGACGTCCTAGCAATCGCATTCAAACAAGTGAGTTGCTGCTCTTTTAGGGAGTAGTGCCTTCTTCAGATACCCAAAGAGATCTGTGGCCTAAGGGGAAAATGCACAGAAGCCCAAATGCATTAGCTACACTCTTCAAACAGCAGGCTTCTGCATGAGCTTTTAGACATAGATTACCAGGAAAATCTCTTGAACAGTGCGGAAATAATTCTTTCATTTGAGGTAGACTCACTCATTAGCATGTTTTTAAACAGATCAGCAAACTTGGTCCTGCGCAGTGTATCTATCAGAAATGTGTGATGGACAGGTGGGTACTTTCTGCTTCTCCTGTAAGATCTTCTAGTATGGGGCAGGAAACACAAGTGATTTTGTCTCTCTTGAAATACAACTCAAACACAAAGTATGATGGTTCATAATGCCTGGAATACAAATC